TAGGACTCCGTTGTGTTGGTATGAATCAGGCGAGAGTGTTGTGCTCGGACCTGAAATTGTGCAAGAGATGACTGAAAAGATCAAGATGATCCGTGAAAAGATGAAAGCGTCGAAGAGTTACCATGATAAGAGGAGGAAAGCACTTAAATTTTAAGAGGGAGATCATGTGTTTCTAGGAGTTACGCCAATAACTGGTGTTGGTCGAGCTTTGAAGTCTCGAAAGATCACATCGCGTTTTGTTGGTCCGTATCATATTTCGTAGAAGGTGGGGGAAGTAGCCTATCAAATTTCTTTACCGCCATCGCTCGCGAATTTGCATGATGTGTTTCATGTGTCTCAGTTGAGGAAGTACATTCCAGATCCGTCGCATGTGATTCAAATGGACGATGTACAAGTGCGAGATGATTTGACTGTTGAGGTGTTGCCTGTTCGGGTTGACGAACGAGAAGTGAAGCAACTACGAGGTAAAGAGGTCGCCTTGGTGAAGGTATTGTAGGGAGGACCAGCTGGAGAAAGTTGGACTTAGGAACGTGAAGATCAGATGAAGGAGTCGCACCCGACTCTATTTTTTGTAGGTAATTTTCGAGGACGAAAATTCTTTTAAATGGGGGAGAGTTGTAACACCCCAAATTTAATCGGAATATGTTAATTAATTATTTAATTGAGAATATTCATGTTTCGGTGAATTTCCGGTGGTTTTGTGAATATTGGAAAATGTGCATTTTCGGGTATTTATTTGATTAATAGCATATAATATTAATTTATTAGTATTATTATTAATTAAATGGAATATAAGTGAAATAAGGGCAATTGGGGCATTTGAGGGAGTTAGTAAGGGTAATGAGGGAAAAGCCCAATTTGTGAGGCCCAAGACTAGGTTGGACAAAATTGAGTTCTGAAGGGGAATTTGAATTCATTTTGTGTTAACCGTGAAAGTTTGGTGGCCAGAGCTCTGAAGGAAAGGTTGGAGGCAGAAGATCCTGAAGTTAATCGTGAAAGCTGCGAATCGACTAAGGTATGCGGAGTATCGTTGTTCATGGTTTTCTATGTATGCCTTCAGGTGTGTTTATGGTTGGTTTATGATTTAAGGTATTTTGGGTTGGTTGTGGGAAAATAGGGAGTTTGATGATAAGGCTTTGAGGTTAGGGGTAATGGTATGTAACACTGAATATTGATAAGAGAAGGGAAACCTTAGGCCTTCGTGGCCAAAACCTTGGATCGTTATATGTTTGACCCTATAGGAATATGAATGTTCAAATGTGAGTAACTCTGATGCACTCAGAACAATTGCAGGAAAATAGTGATTTAGACAGTGCAAATGTTGCCAGATTGGCCTAATAAACCATAGATTTTGTGCCGTTATCGCCGTATGACCGTAGGGATGTTTTAGGGATGTTTTAGGGGCATTGGGTAAGTGAATCGTATGAGTATTTGGACAAGAATCAGTTCTGGTCGTAACAGGTTTTGCTGTCATCGCCATAGACTCGCCTAGCGAGCATGCCAGTGAAGACTCGCTACCGACTCGCCTAGCGAGCAAGCCAGCGAACGTAGCAGAGCTCGCGAAATTCAATCATTTTGCAGCGATGCCTTGATGTTTAATCCTATGATTTATGGGATGGATTACCCCGAGTATGACAGTGGGTTTTGGGTGATGCGTACATGATGTTATGATGGTTTCCTATGATGTATCGATTGAGTTAATATGATGAAATTACCATGATTTGATGAACTATGTGATAACATGAGATATGATGATTTATGTGATGATGATGAGTATGATGAACGATGATGCACCATATGCTGTATTGTGAGGATTATTATTGTGACGTGTGCATCATGCATTCATGTGCATCCGGACTTCAGTTCAGAACCTCGATTACTTTGGCTTCAATCCCACTGTGTGGATGTGAAGTATTTTGATGTGCTCCGGTTCTTTAGTAGAATCGATCCTATTGATGGGGATCTATGGAGGGTTGATGGCCCAGTGTCCATCGAGCTGTGATGATTGGTACCACATGCATTGAGTTGTGTCGCATTGCATTTATGAGTCTTTTTGTATGAATTACGATGTTGTGGCCTTTGAGGCATATTTGAGTAATATGAATGTATTGAATATAATTATGATGCCGTTTATGCATTAATTTTTATACATTGATTATTATGAATTGTTTACTCACCCTGCCTGTTTGAATGTTACCTCTACGTGGGTAACGTGTAGATGATCCAGTTTAGCCGTGGACGCCGGCGAGGAGTTAGTTTTGAAGTTTTTGAGTGTTTTAGTCTTTTGGTCAGTCTAGAGGGTCTTGCTCTGATATGTAACATCGGGTTGGGTTCCTTGAGTTGATTTTATACTGTTGAAGTTATTTTGATTAATTTCCCTCTTTGAGAAAAACTTTGATTTATGCTTTGAGTTCCGTTGTTTATGATGTTTTGATGTACTTTGGGAAAGACCCGTAGTTACGGAGTATGGACCTATTTTGATGACTTTGAGAAATGTATGCCCTTTTAGTGGCTTTCTAATGAGATTTATTTATTCACTCTGATTTCTGTGTTATTTTGCCTTGATATTTTTGGGGTAGAATAAGGGTGTTACAATATATCTCTTTGAGCCTTCTTCGGAGAGATGTCATAGGATGAGTAAAGTTTTGATGTCAGACTTGTTGGGTGTAGCATTTGTCTAAACTATAGAGAGGTGCAAACTTCTTTGTTGTAGATACCGTTTTTTTTGTAGAGATTACATCATACTTTCCTTCGAGATTTCTCTGGAGAGATGACAGGTGATGTAATTTAATTTGAGGTGCTGATGAATTCCTTGGAAGTAAGATAAACTTCTTAGGGAGAGACTGCAGTTTGTCGACCTACTAGGCATTTATGGAGAAAAATAAGCTTCTTAAAAAATGGATCTTTGCTTGCTGATTGGTAGATGTTTTTTGGTGGATTTGATGTCCATGTTTCCACCAAGAGATTTTGTTGAAAAACTTTCACTAGGGATTTTCCTTAATCCGAGAAAGCGAAATATCATCTTCAATGATGAAGAGTGAAGTTGTAAGGGTGTCTAACCAAATGTCTTCTTGCCTTTCAGAGGTTCAAGTTATCAAAGTGATCGAGGACCAACTTCAATCCAGGAATGAACTGGAGAGAGATTGTTTAAACAGGATATTTCCTAATGAGGAAAGAACTCGAACTGGGATTTTATCCTATCCAAATATGGAAAGGAAACATGAAGAAAAATCTTCCACGAGGATCAAACTCAGTGGGGATTTAGAAAAAAACACATTCTTTCTGCCTAAGACTGATGACCTTAATAGAGAGAGGACAAATAGCACTTAGAGGGTAAATGATGTAACTTATGCATTTATGAATATGAATATGAATATGAATAAGAATTAAATATGCATGGTGTATGTATGCTTATGCTGACAAAACAGACACGACATACTGACTAGTGATGAACACAACTGGATACTTGGCCATTGTGGGGGATAAAAGTATCACTAGTGATGAGTATTGTTGAGGGAAACAAAGTCCTGTTGCTGAACTTCACCTACTCTTGGCAGTAACAAAATGTGACTCTTGAGGAGTGGAAACTTTTACTGGTTGTTCTTGAAGGTAGCAGTCTGTTGGAGGAAGGGATTCTTGTTCCTACCTTTATTCCTGGTGATAATACTCTATCAAGTTTTCATTAATAGAATGGTGATCAGTCTAATGTGTGATTCTATGGAGTATACAAAGTTTAGAAAATGGTAATTTAAAGGGAAAAAGCGCTACATCGAAACATAATGACCACTTATCCTTTTATCAACTTTGAATTCTGGACATTCTTGAGCTCCTGTTGAAGGTGACCTTGATTGAGGATTCCTTGTCAGATGACGTTGGTTTTGAGGATCCAATCTTTTTGGATGCAGTTACTTGCCATAAATCCCTAACTTTTGCCTTTTTCAAGTTTTCAATCTATCGGGATGATTATTTTCTGTTTATGTCTCTAATTTTTGCCTGTACCACCCTTCTGGATTTTCAATCCACCGAGACGTTATTTTTTTTTTTTTGCCTAAGTCACCCTTTCGGGTTTTCAACTTAGCGAGCTATATATTTTATTTATTTAGGCGAAGTATTTCTTGACTGCATCAACATTTATGAGCTAAGTAAACTCTCCTCCATCCATGGTTGTGAGTATTCAGGCACCACCTGAGAATGCTTTGACAACATATGGGCCATCATAATTTGGAGTCCATTTGCCCTTGGAATCAGTGAGAAATGGTTGGATCTTTTTGGGCACGAGGTCACCTTCTCTGAATACCCGAGGTGGAACCTTTTTGTCAAAAATTTTCTTCATTCTTTGTTGATATAACTGACAATGACATAAAGCCGTCATTCTTTTTTCTTCGATCAGATTCAGTTCATCGTGTCTGCTTTGATACCATTCAACTTCTGTTAGCTTGACTTTCATCAATACTCTCGTTAACGGGATCTCAACCTCTATGGGGAGCACTACTTCCATGTCATATACTAAAGAGAAATAGATTGTCCCAGTTGAAGTGCAAACGAATGTGCGATAACCGTGAAGAACAATAATGATATTAATGTTTTTTTGTCTAATTGTTATAAATTTAACGACTAAATTTTAAACTTTTCCGTCATTAATAAAAAAAACTAATATAAAAGGTTTTGAAGAATCACTTATAGGAAATTTTTATGATACTCGATCAAAAGAATATTAAGCTTAATTTAAAAATATCTTCTGGAATTTGAGATAAGCTACACACTCACTTCTCCTTCTCTTGCCAACTCAATCCGTGAACGCTACCGCCGAAATCGACGAAGAATCGAGCGGCGGAACAAGTTTTCATCCTTCACGTAAATTCCAGTTTTCTTCACTCTACAACTTCATTTATACGCATTACATGTTTTTTCTGTTATCAGTGTGTGTTACATTGTGAGCAATGATTTCTTTTGATGTGTAGGTTACAAAAAAACTAGGCCATGGTTTATTGAAAGGGACGATGAATATGAAGTTTTCAAGCTATTCCATTTCCCCTTCATTTTCTCCTTTAACTTCAAATTTCATCAAAAATACTCTCAGATTACAGACGACTATATCTCGAAGAAGCCCTAGAAATTTACGCATTTCAAGGCTCTTTTCGGCGAAACGACAATCGAATGATAAACACAAGGCTGTTGCCAAACGCTATCTTCCTCCTTGGTTTAGGTCGGTAGTACTATCCATTTTCTGCAATTTTTGTTATTGAAGTGTCCTTTTGTGTCATTAATTTTGATTTTGTGTTTGTTGAATTTCAGTGTTGCCCCAATGATGGACTGGACGGACAATCACTATAGGACTTTAGCGCGCATCATATCAAAGCATGCTTGGCTGTATACTGAGATGCTTGCAGCTGAAACAATTGTTCATCAAAAGGATAATCTCGTAAGTTTAAATGTATAACTTGGCTTGTTATTGGATGATAAAGAATGAAAATTATGGGTGGAAAAGGGGCTAAAAGGGTTTGCTGGTGTGAATGAATACAATCATGATTTTTTGTGGAAAGATATATCCGTATAGGACTTGTTTTTTCGACATTTATGTTTAGAACTCAATTGTTTGTATAGTAGCAGTGAGGATATTTGTGTTAGTGTGTGAACTAGAGCAGAAATTGACCGAATGCTATTCAAACTATTTATTCGTTCATTTTGTGTATTCTTCTCAGGACAGATTCTTGGCATATTCTCCGGAGCAACATCCCATTGTGCTTCAAATTGGAGGGAGCAATGTAGAAAGTTTGGCAAAAGCAACCCAACTTGCTAATGCTTATTGCTATGATGAGATCAATTTAAAGTTTGTATATATATCCTATCATCTTAAATCCTAAAGTTTCGTTGTTCTGCTATTGGTCTCTGACTCTATTTTTCTAAATAAACATATATGATATATATCAGCTGTGGTTGCCCAAGTCCAAGAGTAGCTGGACATGGGAGTTTTGGTGTGAGTCTTATGCTTGACCCAAAGGTTAGAAAATTGCCACTAATTCTATGTGACAACATCCAATTGGATTGAATGTATAAATTTTCCTTGTCAACTTGCATTTATATAGAAATCTAATGTATATAAGAAAAGTTTGTTGCCGAGGCTATGTCAGCAATTGCTTCAAGTACAAATGTACCTGTCAGTGTAAAATGTCGAATTGGTGTGGACGATCATGATTCTTACGATGAATTGTGTAAGGACCTTCATATACATTCTTATGCAGAAATAATATTGCAGTACACCAAATATATGCTTGTAGATTCTATCTTTTATAAGATTGTGCAACTAAGCTATACTCAATTGGTGGCTAGCATTTACTTAGATTGCACTCAAAAAGGTTATAGGTGCATGGTGGGCTTATTATCACTGAATCCCTCGTTACTGTTTCTTTTAATGCATAATTGTAACACACTGATAGGAGCCAGTAATCTTCTTGTAGGAAATTATGACTGCTATAGGAGCAATAGAGGCCGAGTTTTGTATTTGGCTGTTAGCCATTACCAAGTGAATAAATTATGGGTTAATCTGAAATAAAGATGTATCAGAATTTGACAAAATAGTTTAAATGGAATTTTTAGGACCGCCCTTTTTTGTGCTTAAAATATGGCCAAGAGTCATATTGCTTCGTATAAGCTTGGCCATCAATCAAACCTGCCACCATCTCTCCTTTTCAATATCTAATACTGTTACAAATTGAAATTAGTTTGTTTAGACATTTAACATGTCTACCGAATTTTACATGTAGTTTAGTATTTGGGTTCCATTTGCATCTACAAGATGACACTTTGATGCTATTTGTTGAGACATTACCCTGTATCCTGATTTACTTTCCTTTATTCCTATTATTTAGAAGATATCTTGTATGCGTCTTTCTGATTGTAAGTCTCATTCTTACCCCTATAATTTAGGGATCTTGATTATAATTTTTTCATTATATACACAAGGATGGGGGGTTCTGATTTAGATCTTAGGTTATAGTTTCTTCTATAAAGTATTTGGATCATGTTTTTTGGGGTTTTATAGTGAACTTTCTGTTGTCTATCAGGTGATTTCATATTCAAGGTTTCTTCTTTATCACCCACTAAGCATTTCATAATTCACTCAAGGAAGGCACTGCTCAATGGCATTAGCCCAGCTGAAAATAGGAGTATTCCTCCGCTGAAGTATGTTACAATTAAATTTGGTTTTTGTAGTCATACACATTATATATATTATCTTACATACCCATGTACATACACAAATATAATAAGTGTCGAGAGTTGTAGATGATATGCCAATGTCTTTTAATGCAGATACGAATACTTTTATGGTCTTTTACGAGACTTTCCAGATTTAACATTCACAATAAATGGGGGTATTGCTAGTGTTGATGAGGTAAAGCTACTGTTACTGTCTTTGTGATTCTGTGTCAAACCTGATTTTTCTAGGAATATTTAGAATTTTTCAGTACTAAATTCAATTTGTTGTCTTATAATTACTGCATATTTCTTGGACTGTTTTCATGGGGACTTCGGTTATAGGTCAACGCAGCTCGAGAAGCTGGGGCTCATGGCGTTATGATTGGACGTGCAGCATTCTATAAGTAAGTGTCAAATACAAAATTCCCCCCTTTTGACCATATATGATTTTTCAAATAAAAAAGTTGCTTTATTTCAAGGACCAGGATTTGCTTTTCAATAAAAGGAAAAAAATCTTCTTAAAAGCTGAAGTGTTTTAATTAGGGGCATTGGAAATTGCTTCATATCTATAACAATGATTTGTTGATTGACCCCTCGTCGTATTGTTTAATTATTTATGCAAAATTCACATGTGGCGGCTTGAATAACCATTGTTGATAATCTCAACAGCCCTTGGAATATATTGGGACATGTTGATACTGCAATTTACGGTGCACCAAGCTGTGGTCTTACACGCCGCCAGGTTCGTTTGGACAATGCTCGGCTTTCCATCGATTAAATTGCACTGATACTTTCTCATTACTTGGTTTACCATTTTTTTTTATTGTCTTAACTATTTATCTTATTTACTTAGGTTCTTGAAAAATATTTAGTCTATGGGGATTCGGTGATAGGGAAATATGGACATAAGCCAACTGTACGAGACGTCGTAAAGGTGGGTAACCTTCAATTGATTATGCAATGTCTTACTCTTATTTATTCTCTGTAAATTTCTGTAGTGCATGTGTTATATAGAATACCTGTTAATTAGTAAAGCTATTGTTTCTTATTAATAGATGTAACCCAAATATCTCATGTAGTTTTTCAGTATGCACACATTTTTTGATTTCATGCAGCTTAGTGCTCATTAAGGTTTTTTTAAAGGGTTCATATTTAATTTTTAAAGATTGGAGAAGCTTTTTTTCCTCCTCCCCTACATTTGCAAGAAGCAATGATAGTCAAATTTCTACCTCCAATTCGATGCTATTATATGACTATTGTCAGTTGTATCACTGCAGCCTTTACTCAATCTTTTCCATTCAGAACCTGGAAATGGACAGTGGAAGCGCAACGCAGATGCTGCTTTTCGAAATTGCACGGTATAGTATCTGTGCTGAAACCTAATTAGTTTAGTGCTTAGAAGAGCATGTTGTTTTTATTTTATATACGACTTTAAGCAAAATAATTATTTTACAGTGTATATACAAACTTCAATCATCAAGCAAAACATATGCATTATTTTTAATTTACTGTTATTTTCTGCGATATCTATTTCAATCTTACATAAATGACCAGTATTTTAACATAGTTATGCGATAATTGGTCATATAACCTTTAAGTAACTCTACATCTATGAGTGCATAGTTTAAGAATTAAAAAATAATTATTTTCAGTTGTTAGGCCAGGTTTTTGTTGCATAATTTGATTACTGTCAAATGCCATTTATTAAGTTATGTTATTGCATATATTGATTCAAATGCTAACCGAACTTTTGAATTATGCAGACAATGAAATCATTTTTTGAAGAAACCCTTGAAGCAATTCCTGGCTCGGTATTGGATTCACCTGTTTCAGAACCATCTCCTGGCCGCACCAATCTTTTTGCTAATGTAGACAGTTTACTGCCTCCTTCATACAAAACAATAGAAGAGGCGATTGTTATATGCGCATAGGTTCCGGAACACTCTGAAAAAGTCAAACTATAGTCATTACCAATTGATACAAGTACAACTCATGTAACAGCTCACATTAATACAAGAAAACTGAATGTTTTATTTATAAGTTATTGACGTCCAAATGTAATCTATTTAATTCAATTCAATGTATAAGATTTAAGCAAAACATAGTGCATGTGATTGCAATTCGTTAGCAAGTTTTTTGGACTGTGAAAATGTTGTGTCTTATATCACTGTCTCACACAAGCCAACCCTTACACAAAAATTACTAAGACATATTTTTTGTAGAGTAAACCATCAATTTAATCTACATGGTTCTTAAACTACATGAAATCTGTCAAATTATTTTCTGATTATATATTGATAAGAGTTACTAGAGACTGAAAAGACAGTTCACATAATTTAAGGACTAACTTAACAGATTTTGCATATTTTAAATATTTATTTATTATTTTCGTATAATTTGGGGACTAAATTGATTCTTGAGGGACTACATTTTTTATTTCAGGGCCACCAGTTCAAAAGGATCAACAATCCAACGTGGCAATAATTAATTGGTTGTTTCTTCTACAAGATAAGATAGTGGATGACCTTACAAGTTCCAAGTTTGCGATTTACATTATATTCCATATATCCTTTTTAACTACTCACAAACACATACAAGCACTAGTTTTCAGAATTCAATCAAGATTATACCACTACACACCACATCAATGGCATCACTAACCATGACAGCACCATTCTTCGTCGGCAGCTCTGCGATCGCCACCCGGTCTCCGGTGGCACCTCAGAGGAAACTGGTGGTGGCTAATGCTGCTAGAGGAGTTGAAGTAGAAAAGATGAAAGTGAGTTATGAGAATGAAAAGGAAGAAACCAATGGAAGGAGGAACATCATGTTTGTTGCTGCTGCGGCAGCTGTTTGTTCTGTTGCTGGGATGGCTTTGGCTGATGAACCTAAACGTGGTTCTCCAGAAGCTAAGAAAAAATATGGACCTGTTTGTGTTACCATGCCAACAGCTAGGATTTGTCGCAACTGAGGATGTTTTAGTCTTTTATGTACTTGTATTGTAATGAAATGAACATTGGGGATGCAGTGTTTTGGTTTCATATTCTTATCCTTTGTGATTTTATGTACTAAGTTGTTCATGAAACTATCAAATTTGCCTTGTCTATGTTATTGTTAGTTTGATGCTCAACCAAGAAATTTGGTTAGTAGCTTAGAGTGTTTTAAGTTTCATCTTGCTTTTAAGAGAAGAGGTAATATAGTAAACTTAGTTGTCTACACAATAGTTAATAAAATATGAAAACTAGGCGTAGGTATTTCAACATAGTGCTGGTGCATATAATATTAGTTATTAATTTGTTTGTTAACACTTGATATTAATCGATGAGGTTAATTTTGAATCACTATGGATATATATTTGTTCCGTGGTTGAATGAGAAAAGGAGATGTTGCGAGAAGGAGTCTTTTCGATGTGGTAGTGAGAGTTTTAGATATAGTGGAGTAGGGTGAACCAACAAAGTTAGTACTCCAATTTCAAAGTTAGTAAAGTTAGATTAAAGCAGTTTGAGAGTGAGAGTGAAATAATATTTCTAAATGGCGTGTGGTAAGACTTATATATGCCTGATTGTTAAAATCGCTCTCGTCTAACCTGATGGGTGATGCGGGGAGTCGCCCGAGTAGATTTGACAATGGACGATGTACGAGCAGCGAGGATCAGTTGTTCGGCTCTTTGACGAGGCCTTACTCGTTTCTCTATCTACTGTGATGGTATTTTGGATTGTGGTTCTATAATTGACTAATTTCTTTAGACATTTGACTGACCTAGAACAGTTGCCTCTCAAGTCTTTGTTGCTACTTGGTAAAGCGAGAATTAAATTGTCCATACCGTTCTTAATTACTGTCTTGGGCTTCTTGATAAGCCTTTGGCTCGTGAAAGTGGAAAAGTCTGGTGAGTGGAGCATGTAGCCTCGAGAACATGCGTATTAAATGTTTGTCTTGTAACTGCAATGTTTCACAGACCCAATTCAACACGTGGCCCTAGGTTGGACGACAAAAATGACCTTTTTAGAGTACTTGAGTACTTGAGTAAATCAAGGTTTCATCAGGGTATTTGATAACATGGGCACACTTCCCTATGTCTTATAATTTTGATTGTGTGGTGGTTGACTAAACAATATATGAAGATTCAAGAGTGAACTTTCTCTTTTTCCACTTTCGTCGGGTATGAGATTTAGGGATTCTTCCATTGCTCTTTCTACTTTAAGCTCAACCGTTCACTACAGTCTTATGCCAATTACTGTTCTTAACACCTTTTAGGGCGTTTCAGTGGTCTGATTTGCATATGCATCAAGAATCAGCCTTCTTTAAAGGTAAGAACGTTAACTCTTTTCTTCCTATACTTGCTTATCATTTGTCAAGATTCATGCGATGATGGTTATGGAAGAATGAAAATGAGATATCAACGTCGAGAACATAGAAATGGTTAATAGTCTTGACTCTAAGGAGATTTCCAAGGTTTTCTCTTTCCCATCTTTCCCCTAATGAATCCAATCGTTGCGAGCGACTTTCAAGCAAGAACAAATGGTTCAAACTTATATCAAGGTGTTTTATCATGTTTTTGGTTGTGACCCAGAGATAGCGAAGTAATGTGATGGTTTGAATCTAAATCTCCTGCTTATACTTACAATAATTCTTTTTTTTATGTGTTGACAATAAAACTAAGATGGAACAAAATGGGTTCCGAATTGCTCAGAATCTAGGGGACAAAAACCCAATTGTATGGATGGATTAGGAGATGTTTGACACCGGTTCCATATTCACCAGTAAAAGAGGTTTGAAACATGCTTTTACTGTGGTGAGTTCCTACTTCGAGGGGGGGCATTCCCCCAAAAGAGGACAACATACTGTTTAATAAGCACGAAGGGTGCGTCCTCCCTATCCATGAATGCTTGTTTTTCAAAATAGACTTCTGATTTCACTTTAATGATTTTGAAGTAGGTATCCTTAACCATATGAGGGTTACTCCTTAGTAAATTCATACGGTGAGTTAGGCCTACATCAAGTCTTCCAATGTTGGTGCGAGTACAAAAGGAGCGTGCCAACCTTGGCATTCTTTTTCCATTTTTTCAATATCAAATGCAGTTTGACTGACTCAAAGTGGGGCCAAGGCTTACTTTCCCATAGGTAGAGTATGAATAGGTTAGAGGTGTATACTAATTATATGAAGAATTTCAAGGGTCACTATTACCTAGTGTTGCGGTGAGAATATGATATCAAATTATTGATTAATTTAAATCACATCTTAGTTCACAACCAGTCTTTGATTTATCCGAAGGAAAGGTTAAAGAAAGGAAAAACCTATTTTGCACGGTAAACATAATGCGGGGAGAGATCTAGGGTTCGGGGGTTGGTTAAGCTTAGGGAAGGTATTAGCATCCTAAACTTCTGTAGTACCTACAGGAACCTCTTGTTTTAATGTGCTATTGCTAATGATATCTGCTTAAGGGTAATGCTAAGAGTTATAGGGTAAGAGAAGGGCTTAAGGAATTAGTCATAAGTTTACTCGCCAAGAGTCACATCTTGTGCTTACGTATCCGAGGTAGGGGATGGAATCAGAGTAATCGTAGTTCCCCTCGAAAGGGAGGAAGAGGAACTTCTTGAACTACGGTCAAGGTTCCAAAGGGAATGTAAACGTTCATAGGGAAACACTTACGTTGGAGTGCGGCGACTCATATTCTACGTTGTGAGTTGAATTGAAAGGTGAGTAGTAAGTATTCTGCGGCGGGAACTTACATGGAGTGCGGAGACTCCTAATCCTAAGGCTAGGATAAAGGGGCGGATGTCCACGTCGGGACGCCTAAGCATGAGTACGACGACTCAAAGTCTTAAGGTTGAGAAAAGGTGAAGGGTGTGTCCGCGGCGGGACTCCTAAGCACAAGTACGGCGACTCGGATCCTAAGGCTAGGATGGGGTGAAGGTTTAAGGCGTTGACTCGGCGGTCAAATGGTGAACCTTTCTTTCGGAGGGGAATGATAAAACAATGATAATTGATAAGCGGTGTGATGATAGCAATGGACAAATGATAATAGCAATGATACATGAATACGTACAACGTAATGAAATAGCCAAGTTAGAATGATAATGAGGGTGATTAGCCATGGATTAGTTAAGGATTTTGATTGTTAAGCGTAATGGTGAAATACTTAGCGGTTAGAAGTTGAAGTTAATCATTTTTGAGAATTTTATTGTTAAGTGAAAATTGGACGATGTAAGAACTAATAATTAACGAGAAATTGTGATTAAAAGGAAAAAAGTTGGAATTGGATTATAATTAATTTAAAAATAGTGCTAGACTAATTGATTTTAAAATTATTTGTGATTTTTGAGAATATTTGAATTAGAAATTAAGTCTAAGTTAAAAGATATTAGAATTAATTAAGTGAAAAGGAAAAAAATTAGGTTAATCTTAAATTGATAAAAAAAAAGTTATTTATTTTAAGAAAAGGTGAATTAATTGTAAATTAGCAAAAGATTAGAGTTCTAAGTTACTCTTAAAAGAAAATAAACTATTTTTGAATTTTAAATAAATAAATATTTTATGGGTTCTTAAATTATTAAGAGAAAGAAAATAAATTGACTTAATTAAAAAAAATATATTATTGAATTAAAGTTTTTTTTTCAAAACAAAGAAACTAATTAGCTTTATTTATTATTTTTATGATAAAATGAACTAGATTTACAATAAATCTAAAAAATAATTACTTATTTATTTATTCAAATTTAATTATTAAAATTTTTTAGGTTTTATTAATGGGTTAGTATGTTAGAGTTAGTTGTTATTATTATTATTATTATTATTATTATTATTATTATTATTATTATTATTATTATTATTATTATTATTATTATTATTATTATTATTATTATTATTATTATTATTATTATTATTATTATTATTATTAAATAACTAATTACAGAACAAAAACAGAATTAAAAAACTAAAAAAATAAAAAAGGAAAGAAAATGGGTCGGACTGGGTGATCAGACCCCAAACCCGACCCGGTTCCACATATAAAAGGGGGGGGGGGGGGGGGGGGGGGGTCGCTACCGCGAAAACAAGGTGCCGGCAAAACAGAAGAGTCGCCACCTTTCGTTATTTACCCCTCAGAACGGGAAAGCAAACGATCGGAAAAACCTGACGAAAAGGTATAAGACAAGGTCATCGCAACCATTGTCTGGGTTCAGAAGTCGATTACGCAAGGGGAAGGTATTAGCACCCCTCACGTCCATCGTACTCGATGGGATCCACGCTTGTTGTGTTTATCTGACGGGTTGGTTTAACTATCTACCTATCAAGGCTGGTCTGAAAAGAAAAGAAAATGACTCGGCAAAGTGTCGCGCTTTATGCCTACTGTTGCACCCCAAAATTTGACCAACCGGGTCTCGCATTTGGTTCGATGTTTCGACGCATAACCGCATTCGCATCTGCATATCGCATACATTGCATTGTTCATTTGTTTTGATTTTATCAGGGATCACAGCTCCCGTCTCGTGTTTCAGGTGTTTTTGACCAGTAGAATTGATTTTTGGGATATTTCGGTGCCCGTTTATTTTTACCGATTATTTTTGTGTCGTTCGGTGCTCATTTTGTCCCTCTGGGAATTATCTTGATTTTTCTGGAGTTTATAGGATTTTTTAGGGGCTTTAAATAGTTTTTAAATCATTTTTTAGGATTTAATAGAATTTTAAATAGATTTTAATATTTTTAAATCAATTTTTAGCATTTTATAGAATTTATTAGATTTTAAATTCATTTTAGAAATTAATAGATTTTAAATAGTTTTAATATTCATTCCATAGAATAATAGATAGATTTTCTTTTAATAGATATTACTGATTTGTTTTTTAGAATATTAGATAAATAGATTTTTCATTTTTCTCTCTTTTATAGATTTAAATAAATAATAGTTCTTTTTAGAAAATAATATAGTTTTATTAGGATTTTATTAGTTAGTGGGTTTATGAGATTTTAAT